CCCACCTCAGATGTGCCCAGGTACTCCCCCAAAAGCAGCCCGTGCCCCCTCCTCATCCTCACTGGCCACACCTGGACCTGTCCCAAGCACTGCCCATCTAGGACAGGGCCAAGCCACKGATCCCCTGCCCTGCCAGGTMCCACCGACCCCATCCTGAGTCCTGCTGTGACCTCCTGGGGGAACAAACACGGAGGCAAAGGCAGATCCTTTATTGGAATCGTGCTGGAGGGGGCCCAGCAGGCACAGCCACCTTGGATGGGGCGGGGGAAGTTACAAGGCTCTGGGGGGCCCAGCAGGGGGTCCTGGGGGCTCCCGATGGAGGCAAATGTGATGGGCAGGTTCAGCTGCACTCCTCCAAGCTTAGACGGTCGAACAGGTACTCGCCGAGCCCGGCTGGGCCCCCCCCGGGTCCGGTGGCCCCCCCGACGAGGCGTCGCAGGTTGGTGGCATGGTCCCCCAGTGCCTTGATGGCCTTCACCTGCTCGTCCAGGTAGTGGGACTCCAGGAAGTCACAAAGCTGCAGGACAAAGGAGGAGAGGGGATATGGGGGAGGCGAGGGATCCCCGGGAGCAGACGGAGATTCCAGGAGAGGCACGGGAAAAGGGAGGAATCGGGAGCACGCCGGGGGGTCGGACCCGTGAGGGGCAGGGAGGGGGTAAAGGCAGAGCGAGGGGCAGTGAGGGGCAGGGAGGGGGTAAAGGCAGAGCAGCACTCACGTGGGGGTCGCTCTTCTCGGCAGCCAGGCCGTGCAGCTCCAGCAGCGCCTGGTTCACCGATTTCTCCAGCTGCAGCGCCGCTTCCAGCGCCTCCAGCGCCGATCCCCAGSCATCCCGCTCCGGCTTCTGCGGGGCACGGGCGGTCACCCGAGGAGCCCAGGTAGCTCGGGGCCGACCCGCTCCCCGCCGCAGCCGCCGCCCGCCCCCACCTTGATGTCCTGCAGCAGAACGCGGCCGCCGCGGCGCGTCTGGAAGCGCAGGAGCCCCTCGGCGTGTTCCCGCTCCTCCCGCGACTGCTCCAGGAAAAACCGGGCCAGSCGCGGCAGGGCCACATCGTCTCTCTCGAAGTAAAACCCCTGCGGGAGAGACGGAAGGGAGGAGAGGTCAGGGGGAGGCCCCCAACAGCCCCCCCAAGATTCACCGGATTGCGCGCCGCCCCCACCAGCACCGGGAGCGGGTTTTGACGGGGAGGAGGAGGTGGTTCCGCAAGCCCGGGGTCGGGGGTCCCGAGCCACCCCTACCATAGAGAGATAGATGTAGGAAGCGTGAAGCTCCATGTTGGCCATGCGGTTGACGGCGGCTTCGCAGTCACGGTGGTAGTTCTGGCGGATCTGGGAGTCCATGGCGG